TGGAGCCAAAGCCGACTGCTTGCAGGGAGAGAAGAAAGCCTCAAGCGGAGAGCCCCGAGCTGGCTGCATTTGGACAGAAGCTGGCGGAGCATCATCAACAGTGTCGATGATGCCTATAGGTGCCGCGTGAGGAACAGCTGAAGAAGGATGACGCACTGCGTGGAATGGCGCTGGGCATTATCTATCGTAACCCTGCATATAGTAGCAGGTAGTTTTACGGGTAAACAGCCAGGAGTAGGACTTTCCAGTCTTGAGCGAGGACAAGTATGTCTTCCAAACCTCAGCGCGGGCGACAGTCAAGTGAAACTTGATCTTGGTAGTGCTGGCAATCCATTGTCCGCAAAGAACGCAATGACATTTGAGCTGCTGATAGAGCTCATGTTTGAGAAGGGCAGAGAATGTCAACCCAGCGAAAGGACGATACTGTTCCGCCAAGGCTGAGTAAGTGGGTTGATGGAAGTGGGCGGAACCCGCAGGGGAGGGTGCCTCACCCCGTTGAAGGGAGGCTTGAGAGTTAGGGAGCTGATGTGGCAGGCTCGAAGAAACACCGGTAGGCTCTGAGGGCCCGTCCCAGAGAGCCCCATGTTTTGTACGCCCTACTGCAGTAGCGGCAAGTGGGAATGCCTCCTCTGAGCGCTGAAGACGATCAGAGACAGGCCCGGGCTTTCAGGGGGCCGGGCGCTTAGCTGTTGAGTGTTGTCGAAGAGCCTTTAAGGAAAGACAAGTTTCACCACAACAGAAGTACAGCTCGTGCTCCAAACTATCTATGTGGGCCCCGATCGTGTTCGCAAGGCGTTGCAAGTCCTCAGCAATGTGATAAGCAGCTTCATGTGTAGAAGGAAGATTTAGAACGGGGTCGCCGTTTGCCCCGCGACAGCACATAGCTGTCGGCAGCACGTGGCAGCCCTTTCCGCCAGATACTGTACCGGGAAGGGAGCTTGAGTTGCCGGAGGATGGTGGTGATGCAAATCTTAGAAATGTGGGAGGGCATATGTGCGACTGCTCGGATTTGCCTGGCATACCAAGATTGTAGTTTGGTCACAGAACCTGAAGTAAGACCAGCAGTCTCCAAGCCAAAAACCGCACTAGACCATACAGCGGAGCGCCAGATCATTAAACGGCTTGAGGTGGACGCTCCTCTTTTCCGATTAACAAATTTCCGGACCTTGGCTTTCTCAAGGGCAGCTTGATCTTGGCGGAACTTATACGCTAGGTCAGCGTGTTTGAAGTAGCTGAGCTGGATTCCCAAGTATCGGAAGGACGTAACGACCGCAAAACCCTCCTCCAATTGTAGTTGCCCCTCCCAGGAGGCTGCCTCACCACGAGTTGGAGCTGAAGTTATGCTATTCAGCGGGAGAACTCTCCACAACTTAACACTCTTGCCCCCCTAGCTCCGTGAATTCGAAACGTGCTCTTGCCTGCTTGAGTAACTTGCCTCGAAGGCGGTACATGATGTTGTACTTTTGAGGGTTGACCTGAAGTCCTGCGGCATTAAGGTGCCGGAGCAAGGAAAGTATGATCCTGTGCGCGCGCAGGAGATCCTGCCATGATGAGATCTGGCGATGAAGGATGAGATCATCAGCAAAGCCAGTACGATATGCCTGGACTTCACCTGTTCCAACTTCGAAACCTACTTTGCTGAAGATGTGGGAGATAACTAGCGCAAACAATGACGGAGCCAGCTTACAGCCTTGCTTAATTCCCGTAGTCGATGAGATGCTCCCCGCGCACTCCCCGTAGCGAACTTTATAAGTTGAGTCCTGGTGGAGTGTAGTGACCAATGCAATGTCCTGGGTAGACGCCCCTGCTGCCTGTATAGCTTCTATAATGGCTTGTCGGCGGAGGCGGTCGAAGGCCTGAGCAAGATCGAGGCTGAATATGAAGCCACCTTGCAGCTCTGGTCTGGCTGGGATATCCGTCTGGCGGTGGGCTTTTTTAACTAATATTGTGTGAAGCCAGGGAATTCTTAACACTGCGGATGTGGGAGATGACCCTCAGTTGTGCGTCAGCTATTCCTCGACCTGGGGAGTATGCAAACTGAGGCTTGTCCTTCTGAAATTTCTTAAATGCAGCCTGAAGACGTCGACGAGTCTCGCCTGCAATGCTCTTTCCGTCAGGACGGATACTACCAAGAGGACGGAGCTTGTCTAGGGCTGACGAAGGTTTGCCTGGCTTTGGAATAAAGCAAAGGTCTGAAGATGTAGCAGACTCAGGTCGCATGAAGCGGGTGGAAGGGGCAAGAGGAGCTGGTGGCGAGAAAGATTCAATGCTGGCGGAAGCTGCCTCACGCTCAGCATGGCAGATGGGAAGAACAGGCTCTGAAGTCTGCATATAGTCGACTAAGTTGCGTGCGACAGTAGCCGAGCATGACATATACATGGAAGCAGGAGCCGAACCCGAGGGAACGGCAATATGAGGCTCAACGGAAGCTATTTGGAGTGCAAGGTGACGCTCATCTAATCATATCTAATCTAGGAAGCAGAGTGGAGTTTTGTGGGAGCGGAGGATCTCTGGCAAACAGTTCCTTGCCAAATTGAACAAGGGAATCGAGGCCTTCCGACGACGTCTGCATACGACCCTGCGGATTTTTAAGACACACCGGTGGCTGTGGATCCCACGGCACCATGGCTTTCAAGCTCTGATAGGAAAGGCCAGGCGAGGGTTAGGTTAGGTTTGAGAGATTTCACGGACGGCTGCATGGATGCACTTCTTCCGGGCAGCGCAAACCTGGTTTTTATGGTCCTTACCTTAGAAGCTGCAACCAATTTCCTGTGTGTATTGAGCAAGCGCAGGAACTGTTGGGCTCGTGCCTTCGCCTCTTACGTAGGCGGCGTCTTTCCCTGAGTGCTTGCCATAATATTGGGACTGCTGAAACAGATTGCTCTCGGGGTGACGTCCGCGATAGGCTAGCCGGGGATGCTACTTGAAGCAGGATGAAGTTCATCTCGCCCAAATGTAAGCAAGTTTTATGTGTGGTAGAGAGCTGTTGCTGAACACACGCCGACACCCCCTGTTGCAAAGCCTGTGCCTGTGGTGTACAAGCGCTAACATGCTGCGCCAATGCATTGCGCTGCGCCCTAGACAAGGGACATGCATGAGAAGACTTAGCTTTGTACCACGGCGCGCGGGGGATTATGTAAGTGGAGAGAGGGAAATGCTTGCCCCCCATTCGCCAGGATCCCACATGAAAAGCTTTATGTACCATCTCTTGCCTGGATCGAAGAGTGACTTGCGATTTTGGCTGCATTATGTAGTCGATCTGAGTCTTCCCCTGCGGGCCAGAGAAGGTAGGGAAGCTATTAGCAAAAGTGTTCAAGACCGCAAGTGAATTAGTCTGGACAAATTGCTTTAGCTGCCTCTGCCCATGCTGAGGCGTTCTGCGCCAAATGAGTTAGGACTGTTAGGAGGGTTGTAAGGAACCTGCTGGTTGAAGTCTCCTGCCATTATTAAGTTCGTTCTGTGCGAAACATGCCGTACCTCTGAGGCCAATGCCGCAAGCGGCGTTCCTTGCGCCTGAACGTGGTGGGAGTGCTGAGTGGCTCCACGGTGCTTGGTATGCTGATAGCAAGCTATTACTTCGAAGGGCGAGCCCCTGAGTGTAGCCGCTTGAGATAACATGCCAGCTTCTAGCTTTCAACTGTGAGGCTCCTGACCAGTGCATCTCTTGCAGACAGATGGCATGGTGACTGCAAGATTGAAACCATTCTTGAATTTCCTGCCACTGCTGTGAGCTCAGGCCTCCAACATTCCACGAGAAGACAAATAGCACGGCAGCAAAAGCTGCTGATCTTCGCGGATAGACACGTCCTGGGCGATTCTGCCTAAGTGCTGCCAGAGGCGCAGGGGGTCGGAGGCTGCCTCGACCACCCCCTGATGTGCCTGGTACATGCTCTAAGCTTAGAGGACCTGTGCCCTTTAGCGTCCTGGTTGCATGTGTGAAACTAGCTTCTCGACCTCTATAGGCTGCAGTGCCGTCCCTTAAGGCTCGTCTACAGGCTCGCCGGTAAGACTTTTTTCAATCTCCTGTGCCATCCGCTATATCTCGCCCGAAATGCAAGCAGATCAAACTTCCCCGCCGCGCGGAAGACGGGAACGCTCACGCTTAGGAGCAATGGCAATTTGCTCCACCCGGATTTGGGACCGGGCCAGCTCCAGGTCTTAGCCTAGCACGCGAAATTTTGAGCTCAACCGGAGGCTACCCCACAGGAGCAAGACGGTACCATGCGCAGTCTGAACTACAGAAGATGAGTGGTTGGAGAGCCCGGGAGCTGTTCGGATCTCAATGGTAGGGCCCTCCACAAGCTGTCCTGCGGTGACTCGACGGCTACAAATTTGCGGCCGCTTGAGCTGGTAGCGCTTCAACAACAACAACACCACCACCACCAGCAACACCAACAACAACCACCACCGACAACCAACACCAACACCAACACCAA